CACCTCCTCAAGGGTCGCCGACATCACATTCGAATAGCACATCACCTAAAATGCCTCCGATATCACATTCGGATAATACATCGTCGCGAGGACCTCAGGCACAGCATTTGAGTAATACATCACCCCAAGAGCCTTCGAATAGCGTATCACCTCAAAGGTCTCCAATACCACATTCGAGTGCCATGCAGCCTCAAAGGCGTCCAACACCACATTCAGATAATTCTTCAATCCAGGCCCCCCCGAATGATTTGACATCACCTCCTCAAGGGTCGCCGACATCACATTCGAATAGCACATCACCTAAAATGCCTCCGATATCACATTCGGATAATTCATTGCCACGAGAACCTCCGGCACAGCATTTGAGTAATGCATCACCCCAAGAGCCTTCAAATAGCTCGTCACCTCAGAAGCTTCCGGTGCAGCATTCGAATGTCACATCGTCCAAAAGGTCAGTGCCAAATGAAAATGACATGACCACCCAAAGACCTCCGGCAGGTCAGAATCCTAATATCGACTCTCAAAAGCCTACTTTGAAGTACCAAGATGATAACATGAGACAAGGAACAGCGGTGTACTCGTCATCAGATTCGTCGTCTCAAGATTTTTCACAACCTCAGCGGCTTCCAAAAGAGTCACCGAACAACCCGCCACAACCCAAACCCCGTGTAACAGAGCAACCCTCCTCAAAATCTCAGCGGTCTCCAAAAGAGTCCTCGAATAGACCGCCACAACACAAACCCCGCGTAACAGAACAACCTTCCTCACCACCGCCACAGCATAAAAATCGGCAAGATGAGGTGTCCTCTATTGCCAAAGAGATAGAGGCCATGGGTCCTCCCGTTACGGCGGAAGATTTTGTGATGCAGGCAATCAAATATCATGAAGACAATCAGCTTGAGAAGTCCACGGAATATTTTCGTAGGGCGGCGGAACAAGATAATGCTGTTGGAATAGTACTTTATGGAATTGCTCTCAGGCACGGATGGGTAAATAAAGAAAATTAGCATAAATAGTCGGAATTGAGATTAGAATTTAACAGCAAATTATTCGTATTTAGGGATGCAAGACAAACGCAGCTTTGGCCTTTAAGTATTTGCAAAAAGCAGCACAATCAGCCATCGATATTTTAAATGGTATAAATAATACAGTCAGCACATCTCCTTTTAAAGGAGAGTTTGTCCTGGCCATATATGAATTGGGAATGTGTTTCAGGCATGGATGGGGTGTCCCCAAGAATAAGGCTACTGCGGCATGGTATTTTGAAATGGCCGCCAACCTGGTAAGTATATTATATGGCGCATTTAGCGTACTATTGTTTGAATTGAAAAATCATTCTGGCCTTTGTTAACCGTAGGGGGATCCAGACGCGCAAAATGACATAGGACTTTGCTATTACATGGGCGAAGGTGTCAAAAAAGATATGAAAACGGGTAGGTCTTTTGATAATTTTTGCGCGTGTTTGAATACGACTTACGATTTTGCTGAACGAAACAAATTACCCATCTAGCTGCCAAATACTATAGGATGGCAGACGCGCAAGGTCAAGGCACATTGGGTAATTCTTGGATTTTCAAAGAGAAATATAATGATTAGATTGTTCGGGTTGATAAATTGATTATATTCATTGCATTATGCGGATATTGTGGGTTATCTCGGTATTCTTTCTTGTATGTTCTTTATATTTTCGGCTGTACATATATTCGTTAACTCCCTTCATGTGAAAAATCATAGACACCCAATAGATGTAAAATATAGCCCTCCCCCATCTTTAATTCGACAAATATGTTTACTTATATCCGATTTTGTAGTGAAAATGGAGAAAAAAAAAAAAAAAAAAAGGGAAAAAAAATTTTCCTATATTTATCATAGCATTGTGCCTCGAAAAATTTCGAGATTCTAATTTAACCGAACATACTTTGCATAATTTAAAATTCTTTTATTCCATTGAAATATTTTAAAAAGTCTGTGATCAGGGTAAATGATAATGGTTTCACGATGTATTAATTTACCCTTTTTTTTGTTTTATTTTTACGATTGCTTTTCTTTTCGACTTTCTTAGGTTTCCCTTCTGATTTTTGTTTTGTACATGCAGCCTTCACAACAAAAAAAAAAAGAAGAAAACATGTGACTCAATCAGATGGTATGCGGAAAGCTACTTCAATGGCATAATTAAACTTACATATCCCGGAAAATCAAAGTCAATTCCCAATTTTTCCAATCTCTTTCTTTTTATCCGCTCCTTTTTTAATAAATTCACAACTCGATTCATTTCCTCTTCCGGTGACCTCTTTCTATTGTGCTTCTTCATCTCTTCTTTTATATACGATTTGGGTTTAAATTCTTTATTTGCACCAACCCACATATACGGATTGATTTTTTCCGCTGGCATAAATTTACCTGGACGTGGATGATTTAGTAAAAATAGTGTAGTGAGGAAATTTAACTTTTACGCAAATTGAATTGCGAATTTACGAGATCACCTACACTGAAGCAAGCGGTCACACAAGATATAATTGTGCATCGTTTCGGCTACAATTTGGGCCACCTCTTCATAAGCAAATTCGATGAATGCAAAGTGTCTCGATTTGCCTGTCTATTAGGTTTTTATTAAAGGGGAACTCTTAGAACCGGAGGAACCAAAAGAGGTGAATCAACCTCACAGAGAACAATCAGCTTAACCTTTTTATTTCGATATAATTTTAACCGAGTCACCGTGCCGAATTGACTAAAATATTTTCTCATTTGACCCTCGTAAAACCCATGAGGTATTCGACTGAGGTATACGACGCCTTTTTTCTTTTTTTCATCCTTGAAGAAGTTTAGGTGAGCGCTAGCAACAAGCAAATCCACCAAATGCGGAGAAAAAGTGAACACGTTGTAGCACCTTGTCCTTGATCAAAGCTATTCGATTTTGCAAATTCTCTTCGTCTTTCTTTTCTAGCGAAAATTCTTTTTTTTTTTCAATTTCCTTCGAGTCCTCTCTTTCTTCCTCCGAGCTGTCATCTCCTTCGCTACTATAATCGGACATAAACTTCTCCAGCTGATACAGCGTATTGTCATCTTCGTTATCTTTACTCATCGCGTCAGAAAAATCTCGAGAAAAAAAATGATTAAAAAAAATTTTTGTTCATATGAGAAAAATCTGATTGGTTAATAAATAATTAATGTCAAGAATCACGAAGTGATCCTATCAATATACTGTACATTGTACTATACTGAAGTTTCTTTTTGTGCAAGATGAGTAAAGATAATACGCCGGAAGAAGCTGACCAAAACTGCGACATCTTTGAAGAAGAGAGCACACAAAAAATTAACCAGACAAAAATCAGCTTTTCCTTGACAAAGTCACCGGAGGTTGTGAAGCTGGATGATAATGCAAATGCCACTCCGGTACCTCAGAAGGTCGCAAAACAAGAAGAAAATGCGCCTTTAGTTAATGAATCGAATGAAAATACCTTAGTTGAGGCCAATATAAATACCACTGAGACTGGTGAAAATAAAAAGAAACGAAAAAGGAGCCGATGGGATCAAGCTGGCTCGACAGCTAAGGAAGCTCCGGGATCAGTTAATAATGTTGACACAGATTTGACAAGCAGTTCAAATGCCATAGTATCGACTTCTCCCCAACAAATATACACCTCTTCAGATGAACGACAGTTCTCGAAATATTCAGATACGTACAAACCCGGAATGGTGCGTGTGGGTTCCAAGTGGGTTTATCCAGAGGACGAGATCACAGAAGGTGGCACATGGGAGCATAAAAAGCGAGCCGAAGAGATGAAGAAGACAGCCGGTAAAATCTCATGTGCTTCAATTAAACAATCCCAAATACTGAGACGCATTCTTCAATTAATCATTGAAAATCTCCTTCAAAAATAGAACAGGCTGCTTTACTGACTGCGCAAGCCGAGGCAAAACGTGCCCATCATATCGCAGACTTTCTACCCAAAGAAGAGCTGGAGAAATTTGAACAAAAGGTCAAAGCCGTCAAAACCGGTGGTTCGACTCCTGAGTATGAAGATTATGCAAGTAACAAATTAGATCAATCAAATATTGGATTCAAGATGTTAATGAAGCAAGGATGGCAAGCAGGCACTGGATTAGGAAAATCTGGTGAAGGTATTGCCGCCCCTATTAACAAGTAAGCTATTGCTGCTTTTTTCTCGATTCCTAAAGTGCGAGCCGTAAAATGACCATCACATATCTCCTGTATCAGAGCCGATTCGCGTCCTGCAAACGCGGGTTTGGGACAATCAAAACCTGAGGGTGTTGAGGAAGAAGATGATGAATTTGAAATTTATCGCAAGCGTATGATGCTTGCATACAGGTTCAGACCAAATCCTCTGGTATGTTACCATGCCTTTGCTTTTCAACATACACCTACATCTATACACAAATGTTTGGGAATAATACATTTCCTATTCAACATTCCAATGAAATCTCCCTCAATATGTCAATATTTCTCGTCGCATAATATTAAAATGATATCCTCGAGTACAACATTTTCACGGTTTTGGTTTTTGTGCACTACTAACCATTTGCCCTTCCTAGAACAATCCTCGTCGACCATATTATTGAAACAGATACAAAAATATTTAGGGCTTTCAAATTTGAAATTGTTTACCATGACCCGTGACCTACTCTCTCCCTTTTTATTCCTGCTGCATCATCATCGCACTTCTTCACTCCCTCCTTTAACAACATTGTTTTCTCTTCTCTCGTACATAAATATAATAATGATCCGGAGAATTTCTATGAATACTCGGTTATTTTGTATTAAATTGTAATTTCCACCATACTGAAAGCTTTTTGTGAATAATTTAATATTTTGGGATTTGCTTATTGTATATAACCTAGTCAGCCTTTGATACATCTTTTCTTTTTTCTGGCATTAGATTTATCAAGTTGTAATTTTTTTATGTGTTATTTATAAAGTTCGCCTATAAAAATCATATGATAGATATATATACCTTAAAGCCACATTGGTTCGCACTTACTCTCACCATGTCAGAATGTCGGTGGTAATTGTTTGAACAACCGAACGAACATCCCAGTGATTGAGGACCTCCAAGAAACAATTTATCTATTTGTATATTAAATGGTAAGACCCATTTCTGTTTCAACAATATTATGTTATGCGCACACTGTATATACTGTAACTCGAATTTTGGTTAATTCGAATGTATCAAATTTATCTGTTTTTTAAATACGCATTTATTCGTGTATATAATGTTATATTTACATACAACGAATAGATCAAATTATTTTGACAAAAAAAAAAAAAAAAAAAAAAGATTTTTTTATCATTATTAAATTATCACATTTTATTTATAATCCACATTACATAATGACCAATTTCGAGAAAAAGATTTTTAATAAAATAATAAGATAAATGATTTATTTGTATTATAGTTTTATTTTTGTATTAATAAATTTATGTCATATAGGACAAGCATTTCATGAATTTGTCTCCTGTTAAAGAACATTCATTTTAATTGACTTTTAAAACTCGGACCCGATAAATTTCACCTGCAATAATTTATTGGACTAAAAACCCGATCCAACATTGCGATCACACTAGATTAATTCAGTCCAATGGTCCAACGTTCATTATCAGTTTCATGTGCCAAACACAAATTGGAGCGCAAAGTCTTTGGATTTTATTTCATTTCAATGGAATAAATCTTGAAGAATGTGTAGCACCAATACCTATCGATTCATATGTTTAAATTAGTTTTATCCTTGAAGTTTTCATAAAATCGAAAATAATAATTACCTGGACGACCGTGTTTAACAGGTTTATACGAGATGGAAAATTCGGCGAGGTAATGGCCGATCATTTCGGGCTAGGAATAATTTGTTCGATGAGTCGAAGTAATAGAGAACAACAGGATTCACCCGAGTGAACCGAATATTATACCTTCACTTCAACTTGATTGAAAGTTTTGCCGTTGTAAACACCGATTATTGAACCAACCATTTCAGGAACAATGATCATATCGCGTAGATGAGTTTTGACCACACTAGGTTTCTCATTTGGCGGTGCTTCTTTCTTAGCTTTACGTAATTTCTTGATTAAACCCATCGGCTTACGTTTTAAACCACGATTAAATCTTCTTCGAGCTCTGGCGTGAACAAGGTCGGTCAACTATTTTCAAGGCAGAATTTTATCCCAAGACGGATTTTAGATCGAATGAGAGAATAATAATAATAATAATGATGAAAATGAAGAGATAATATTCATCAATATTACCTGTTCAGATGTCAGATCTAGGAGTTGATCGAGGTCTACACCTCGATAAGAAAACTTTTTAAAGGTTCTCTTCTTTTTTTGTTCAGCGATAGCCGCCGGATCGTCCGCCTATTGTCAAAAAGTTCATCCCATATTCTTAAATGAATTGGATTCAACACCGTCCTATTGTAAAAGGAACAATAAAGTTTTTCTTACCATCTTCGCTTTTGCAATAGAGTGAAAGAGGATTTTGCAACCATCCGAACTTTTCACGTTTTATACGAAAAAAAAAAAAAAAAAAAAATTTTTTTTTACCACTCCAAAATGGATCAGCCAATCGTAAGTTTTTTAAATCACGTGAAGAAACTTTCAACATCTTTTTTTACTAATTTCGAACAAATAATTTAATAGAATTTTAGTTATATAAATAAAAGATATTAATATAATTTACTACTAAAAAAAACACTATATATAAATATATGTATATATATAAGAGCGAATAAAGTAATTTTGCAATTGTAAATTCTCAACAATACATAATTACCCAAACCATAAAATTTTAACAGAAACCAGTTCCGCATTTCCTAGTTTTTCCCTCCTTCTCGCTTATCACCCTTTCTAACTCCCAATCCCGATGTTCTCATTTCCAGAAAAGAAAAAAATAAAATAAAATAAGAATTACAGTTTGATAAAATAAAAAGGATGTAAATGTTCTACAAATAATAAGATACCATTTTCGTTTTCGATGGAATACCAAACAACACTATTAATTCATGATTGATCGGTCATGATCATGATACACGTTGCTCAATTGTAATAGATGCCTCAGTTGGTAAAGACGTTGAACCCACAGGTAGATTTGAGGAGCTTTTATTTTCACCCTCATTTCCTTTATAAGGATATTCATTGGCGCGCTTTCCGAAAGGGATTTCTTCACCACTAGAATTACTATCATTGCTATCACCCCCTCCCAATCTCCTTGGTTTGACTAAATTCTCGCATCGTTTTAGTATGTCTTTTGTTGTCAAGTTTTCGGGGTTGCTTAACAATTCTTGATCACGTAATATCATCGAAATTTCTTCGGGAACCTTTGTATATTTAAGAAAAGAGACGATACGGTATCACAACATGATGATTAACGCGTATATAAATATGCGATAAAGTTATTTCTTATTGCCGTGTAAAACTCACCTCCCAGAATTCATCTTGATATTTCAGTAAACCGTGAACAGCTTCGATGGCAAGAAAGGAGTCATCTTTTATCGGGTCCTTCGACTTGGAATATAAAATATTTGGAGTAATTACGGTGGCAAGGTTATGAAGGTCCATTTTGCTGCCCGTCTCCTCGTCCACATGGGAGAAAGAGGCGACCCACTTGAAAAATATAAATAATACTTCCATTGTATCGCGATTAACTTTGGGTAAAAGGCAACAGGTGTAATGTAATATTCTTTTTCTATCGGATTCTTTTTCAAGTTCTACACAGGAGAAAAAAATTGGGCACACGATTCAGGTTAATTCCTTGAGTTGGTGACCTTGTGAAATTGGAATACAATTTAGGAATTAACGTCTCATTACTCTGGGAAGCTACAAAGAGCTTGTGCAATTTGAAAGTGAGCAGTGGGTCTGGTAAGTCACGCAAGAATTTTTTCATTAGTGCAGCCACCTGCACCGGATTATCTTCGGATAAGTTCACCGATGAAGGATTTTTATCGATTGCTTCGCTGAGATCTTTCAAGCGTCGTATATTGCCGTTCTTACGAAATATTCCTTCGACTGACATATCTTTAATTGACAAGCCATCCGAGTTAGGATTGTGATTAGTGGTCACGGTATCTGGTAAAAATATCAAGTGACCCATTAATTACCCATTGTTTTCATGGCTGAAATACTTTCATCCACAAAACTAGGTACTCTTATGCGTCCAGGACCTGCGCCTAATACCGAATCGACTCCATACTTTTCAACAAGAACTTCCAGGGGTATTCCAAATGTACCTAAGAAGGAGGTAAAATTTTAATAATTCGGAAAAAAATAAAACAAAATAGAATCACGAAATTTTAATTTAAATTAAAATCTCATGGCCTTCCTAAGGAGATTCATATGAAATTATAAAGACCTCCTACTGCGTCTAATACGTTAAAATTTTTGATGGTGACAAGAATTGTGACCAAAGTGAAATTATTAAATTAACAAAGTACAAATCAATTGGCTATTGTGAATGTCTACCTTTCTTCTTGACAGGTTTCTTATCTGTCGATTTAATCGATGTCATAAATTTATTCCACAAAGTAGCTTTCTTGGAACCGATTAACTCCAAAAGTTCTTCCAGTGTGCAATAATCTTTAAGTAATTGCTCCATACACAGGACGGCCGCATGCCTCACAATAAAATATTCCAGAGCCGACAACTCGGATAAGTATAACTTGGCACGTGAGGATTTTCGCGCTTTATTCTTTTTTTCGGCTGTCGAGCCCTCAGAGGCTGCCATCTCGGCAGCAGCAATTGCCGATATATCACTCAGTGCTATTGTCTCTTCATCGAATTTCAAATGAATATCCTGAGCTGGTACTTCTAGCAACTGATCATCGGCGATTTTGACATGACGTTGAGACAGGTCCGTTGCCGATTTATTCTTTGAAGATGCCGATTCATCCGAATTTTTGAGCAGGCTAGGTAGTTGCTCTTGTTTTATTATTTTTGCTCGTAAAGCGTTCGAGGGATTGGTTAACTTGCGATCCAGGTGAACTGACTTCATGCGTTTTATATCCGCAGTAAGCGCAGTCTCTTCTTTCTCTTTTCCAGTTTTATTTTCGTGGCGACCTTCACGGTTGGGCAAACCATTGCCATCCTCGTCTTAAATAAAGCGCAGAATGAATGAGATGATCGGCGATCTCAAAGAAAACGATCTCGGTGGATCTTTTAGCTCACCTTGTTTAAGCTGACCATTTAGGTTCGACAGAGCAACCCGTAATAAATAGATGTATTGTTCCAACTGAGTAACATGTTGAAATCCAGGAGCGGCTTGTTCGTTTGTGTCATTTGGGCAAAATGCCATCTCCGTTATTTGATTAAAGGTGGCATCACGGTAGATGGTACGCAATTCCCGCGAGCATCCAGAACACCTTAAACAACCAATGTGCCAGCGGTAAGGTCCATATTTATAACATTCTTCTTCTACAGCGATTCGGCATGCATGGCATAGACCGGACGAAATTTCATTATCGATGTTTTCTTCTTCAATTTGCTTTCCATTTTTTTTCGTGAATTCCCCTAATTTGGTTAAAAAGTTTTCAATTGCGACTGCACCATTGAAATCACGCTCCTTAATTTTTCCAACGTTTTCACATGTTAAAAAACTCGATGGGGCATAATAAGAAGGAAAAGACGGTCCGAACGTAAATAATTACCAGTTTTAAAGCACCGGTTAGCGCTATTCTTATCAAAACTTTTAAAAATTGTGCCAATCCCGTCACTAACGCCAAAAGATCTTGTGAAATTCCTAATTTTTTTATTCCGCTTTTATGAGCATCTCCCAGCAAGGAAAAGAAATTTTGAATCTTTTTGCAAAGCATCTTGGCTTCTCTGTGGTATTGAAGACCTATTAAAGATGAGCTTAGGTAAACGTGTGCCATTATACCGATGGATTCTCTCAATTTATAAGCAAATAGAATACCTTGACCGCTTGCTTGCACTGATTGAATTTCTAGATCGTCAATTGAGGAAAATAAAACTTCGACGTGGCTAACAAATCTTTCCGACATCTTCACACATTCAGGATATGATCCATTAGATACATGAAGCAGCATATCAGAGATACAGGCAGCTGACATCTCTTCGAAGGCCGAAAGCACTGTCCATATGTTATAAACCTTCTCCTCCATTTCTTTTTGCTGCTGTTTGAGTTCTTCTGGGGTTAATTTCGTATCAACTTCCGTTGAAGGATCATCTTAACATTAAAAAAAAAAAAACCACTTAGTCTCTTGACAGTTTATTCAACGATTAACCGCTGTTAATAAAATATGAAGTAATGGTGATAACTACCAGCTTCAGCATTTTGGTCATAATCTGTACGTGTCGAGAGCCTCACATTCCAGAACTAGGTCATAATTTTGAAAGAAAAATTGATAATGCAGAATGTGTAGGTTAATTTCACAAATAAAGATGCCGAAATAAGAAAAAAATAATTACTTTGTGTATCATATAACATTCCGGGTGCCAGTGCTCGTCGACGTTATTTCGGTTTATCTCCACGAACTGTTTTAAAATTGCCGTTTGACAACCCGCACATTTGACCGCAAATCGTGTAGAGTAATGGAAATGACAATACACCTGGCTATCATGTTCGTAGTACGAATCTTGAGGTCCGAATACTGTTGGACACGCAGAACAGGTGAAGTGCTCAATGTGGTATTTTTTATCAAGAGCTGTAATGTAAGATCCTCTAAGAGCACCACCGCAATTTTCGCAGATGAGATTAAGGCGTCGAAAGTAGTCACGCTCACATAAGGGCTGTTGCTTTCCATCTGAACCTTCTATTGGAAAAAATTTAGAAGCTACAATAGCTCCACAGTCCTAAGTGAAATATGAATGAAGTAAAAATGAGGAGGTACATTCACAAAGCATCCCTAGTAAGACGAAATAAAAACTAAACTTTACCTGGCATTTGAAGCATTCCAGGTGGTAGGTACCACCTAATGCTCTCACAAATTGCCCAACAATTAGTAGACCACATTTGGCACAAGTCGTAAAATTTGCTTTGTTTACATTTGCTTCTTCTGAGGGTGGTTCGTTTCGATCGCTCATTTTTTGAATCGAAAGGGTTTTTTTTTAACAAGTTATTACTTTATGTCAAAAGGGATTGCTAGCTCGAGGCGGAAGTTAACTTGAAACCATGAACGCAAATAAAAGAGAATCGATCGCAAAAATTATATAAACGTTGTACAGGGCTTTAATTGAGGAAATAAGTTATAAAAATGTCCAAAGTTTTTTTTTTATAGCACGTAGTCTGTAATTCGACCTCGTTGGGTGGAAAAGTTTGACAAATTTGTCCCACCAAGACCTTTCTAACTTTGTCTAGCCGAATTTGGTTAAAAGTAGAAATAAAGAACGCTATTTATAGGACACATTCCAATCGGAGAAAAAAAAAAAATAGAATATACTGAAATTAAGAACCACGCGACAAATAAAGTAAAAGCATTATTATTTTAAGATAAATACGCATTTTTATTTAAAAGTTAAATAATTATTAATTTAAAAAAAAAATTCTATTTTCGTTTTATCAAATAGTTAGTTTTTTTTTTTTTTTAAGCTAGTTACAGTATGTGTGCTTTATTAAACAATTGTAGACTATACATATATTGATATGTGACACTAAAGCTAAATCTTTAACTAACTTACTTATTAAAGTTTTTATTTAAAACTTTAAGTACAACTTTGAAAGTAATTTATCTCTCCATTAATAGTTCAAATAAAAACCCTTCCAATTTCTAATATCATTACTTGCAAGTTACTATTGGAAATCACTTCTTGAAGTTCTGACAAGGATCAAAATCTAACCATTTTATTTTATATTTAATTATATTTTTTATAATTTTTACAAGATTTTTGTTTTCATCATCACTTTCTTTTTCTCTTTGTCTTGTAATTTCGTAATTAGGATTATCTTGTAAAGCATCTTGCCTTCTTACTTCTTGAGACTTTTATATTTTACTTTTTTATTAATTCTTAACTTTTGTTCTTATTTTATGATTTTTTTATATCTTATATTCTAGATTTGTTTATAAATTTAATTATAAACCTTTTTTTATACTTTTAGAATTTATTTTTTTGCAATTGTTTCTAACTTTTTACTATAGCAGTTTAAATAGACAGCTTCTTTAATTATATTACTTTTTACTAACTCTATATAAAAACTAAATGTACTTAAATAAATTTATAAAAAATTTTCTATAAGTCTAAAGATTCCTCTGTCTATCTTATCTTTCTCTTTTCTACTGTTAATTGGTAATTATATATTCTTTTATTTATTTTTTTTTTTCTATCTTAATACAACTTATTAAATTTTTTGAGAATTATTTTTATCATATTACTAAAATTTTATTTTTGTAATCAAAACATTCTAGTAAATATTCAATTGTCTCCTTTTACTAATTATATATTATATATCTTACTTACTTATATAAGTCAGATCTTATTATTACTTACTAGTTTGTTTAAGATATATAGTTTATCATTAATCAATTTAATCAAAAAACTTCTTCTTTGTGAGTCTTTGAAGAAAGTATTTCATATATTATTATTCTTTACCCTATTCTATGTCAGGTTTTATGAATAGATTTAATATTCATAAACTTGATAATACTATTTTGTCTCTATTTTTTTTTATTTTTTTTTTAAACCCTCTGTCAGGCTAGATATGTGTGCTTTATTAAACATATATATACTTTACATTAAAAATGTAT